TATTCTCTTTTCATCCAATCATAAAAAATTCCCCAAATTTTATAATACTCTGACTCTGTCTTATCTTTAATTATCGTTAATCTATTCATTTCTGCACATTCCAGTATTTTCCCAATCACCTCTCCCTCTGGGGGGGTCTTTCAGTGCTTTCCAATTTTGTGCAAACACAATCCTGGCTGCTGTAATTATATGAATAATCAAATATGTTTTCTTTTTATTATATTTCCCTGGTAAAATACCCAGCAGGAATATTTCTGGTCTTAGTTCTATACGTTGTTGTATCATCTTTTCTATCCATGTTCTAATTATATTCCAATAAGTTTTAGCTTCCACACACGTCCACCATATATGATAAAAAGAACCTGGTATTTGATGGCATTTCCAACATTTCATAGATCTGTCCTTAAACATTTTAGCTAATCTTTCTGGAGGTATGTGCTATCTATAGAACATTTTGTACATATTTTCTTTATACACAGTCACCAGTCAGTTTATAGTTTCTTTCCCATAGTTGCTGTCATCTATCTAATTCAATCGTATATCCAAAATTCCTTGTCCATTTTATCATTGTCTCTTTCACTCGTTCCTCCTCTAACTCCATATGTAGTAGCTAACTGTACATTTTTAATCCATTTTTCTTCCGTTCCTGTGAGTATTTAATCTAACTCTGTTGTCCCCAAGTTAAAACCATCTATTTTAACATCTTTTTCATATCTAGATTGTATTTGTGTTCTCATGTACCAATCCATCTTTATTCCTTGTTCCTCTAATTGTTGTTTGGTTTTCAACTCCCCCATATCTGTTAGTAAGTCTTTATATCTTATAATATTTCCCATATTAAGCATATTGGGGTGTATTAGCACTTCCATAGTTGAGAGCCAATTTGGAATCTTCAAATATTGCTTTCTCTTTATTTTCTCCAGACAACAAATAAAGAATTCTTTATATGGTGTCTCTAGAAATAGCTATGTATTCTATTTTTCCCATACCATATGCAAGCATGCCATCCCAACTGCAAGTCATGTCCCTCTAATGTCAATAGTCTCGTATTCCTCAGTAAGATCCATTCCCTCATCCATGATAATGCTGCAGCCTGATAATACATTTCCCAATTAGGTAGACCAAACCCACCTCTGAGTCTTGTATCTTGTAACATTTTTAGATTAATCCTTGCCTTTTTTCCCTGCCAAATATACTTCAAGATTATTTTTATTAAGCCCCTCAAAATATTTCTTATCTAATCTTATTGGTACTGTTGAAAACAAAAACAATAATCGTGGTAGTATATTCATTTTGATTATCGCAATCCTTCCCATTAATGATAGTTGTACATTTTTCCATTTATCCAAATCTACTTCGATTTGTCTTTTCAATTTATGATAGTTATCCTCTTTAAGTGTTGTACATCTTGCTGTCAGGTGGATCCCTAGATATTTTACCTTCTTTACAATTTGTATATCTAATTTTCCCATCAATTCTTTTTTTAGTTTTTCGGTAATATTTTTCACTAACATTTTTGTTTTATCTGTATTAATCTTTAACCCTGCTACCTCACCATATTTTTCTATTTGTTCTATTAATACAGGTCCTGTCTCTAATGGTTCCCCCAAGATAAATATTAAATCGTCTGCGAATGCTTGTAGCTTATATTCTTCCCTCTTAATTTTCACACCTTTTATGTCATTATTCTGTCTTATACTTCTGTTTAATACTTCTAATGTCAAGACAAACAATAGTGGAGATAGAGGACATCCCTGTCTTGTTCCCTTCATAATATTAATCTTCTCAGTCATATCTCCATTTATCATTATTGCTTATTATAAATTGTTTTGACTACATTTAAAAATTTCTCCCCAAAATCCATAGTCTGTAACTGGCTTATCATGAATTGCCAGTTCACATTGTCAAATGCCTTCTGCGTGTCCAGAAACATCAATGCCATCTGTTTCTCGGGGTGTGTTTCATAGTATTCTAATACAATTCGCATATTGTCTCTAATGTGTCTTTTGGGTAAAAAACCATTTTGATCAGATTGTATAAATTAATTTAAAAACTTTTTAAGTCTTTCCGCCATTATTGACGCAAATATTTTATAGTCCACATTCAGTAGAGAAATCGGCCTGTAGTTCTTTATTTTCTGCATTTCCGTTTCTTCCTTTGGTATCAGGGTAATAAGTGCTTCGGACCATAAATCTGGTATCTTACCTTCAAAAAGAAGTTCATTATAAAGTTCCAACATTACATTGCCTAGTGCTTCCTGCAATGTCTTGTATAGCTCTGCTGGTAATCCATCCGGTCCTGGTGTTTTACTATTTTTTTGTCTTTTAATTGCTTCTGTTAATTCCATCATTGTTATTTTCCCTTCTAATAACTTTTTAAATTTCTCCAGTATTTTAGGTATCTCTGTTTCTTCCAAGAATTGTTTTATCCTATCATCTGCAACTGTTGCTTATATAAATTCTCATAATATTCCCAAGTTATTTTTTTCTTTTCTTCATTCCGATGTTGTAAAATCCCCTCAGCATCTTCCAGTTGTTTAATCCATCTCTTCTCTTTCTCCTTTTTAATTTTATATGTCAACCATCTCCCTGGTTTGTTTGCATGCTCAAAAAAGGTTTGCTTAGCTGCTTTTATTTTTACTGCCACTTCTTCATTTTCTATTAAGTTCATTTTATGTTTGTTCAGCTCCATTAAATTTTTGTGTATCTTTTTGTAATTCTTTCTCAAGTGTCTTATATTCTTCCTCCAGTTTTTCCTTATTTTGTCTTTTGTTTATTCTTTTCCCCCAAATAAGTCATAGCAAGTCCTCTCATGAACACTTTCACCGTGTCCCAAACATTTTGAAGTGAAGTATCTTCTTTTTTGTTTTCCTTAAAAAAGAAAAGAATTTCTTTTTTCATATATTGCTGAAAGTCTTTTTCATTCAATGCAGTTTGGTTTAATGTCCTCTTTTTTTGTTCTCTTTTTTTGTCCTTTCCATATGATTGTAACTGGGTTGTGATTCGTCCATGTGCTTGTTTCTATGGCTATATTTTGTATATTTATAAATAAATCTGTTGACATCCATATCATATCAATTCTCCACCAGGACAGGTATCTGTTAGAATAAAACATGTATTGCTTCTTTTCCGGATATTTTTCTCTCCAAACATCAAATATATTTAGTTCGTCCACCATGTTATAAAAGGATTTTGGGAGTGTTCTTCTTAGAGTTTTGTTTTTTTTGTTGTATTATAATCCAGCTCAGCCTTTACAATAGCATTAAAGTCTCCAATCATACATATGCTTTCATATTCCAGTTCTATTATTTTCTTGTGTAATTTTAAATAAAAGTTCTCTTGGTTTTCATTTGGAGCGTAGATCGCTACCAATTATGATTTTTTACAGTTCATAATTACTTCCACCATTAAGATTTGTCCTTCTTCGTCTGAATATATCAATTTATTTTATATTGCTTTCTGAATATATAATGCCATACCTCTTTTACTCTGATCCGCAAGTGAAGTATATAATTCTCCCAATTTTGTATATTGTAATAGATGTTTATGTTGTTTCCTAATATGAACTTCTTGCAAACAAATTATGTCCATTTTTAGTTTCCCTAGTTTATTTAGTGTTCTTTTCCTTTTCATGGTTGAGTTTAATCCATTTATATTTATCGAGATTGTTTTATCTTTTCTTCCATGGTTATTTATTTAAAGTTTTGGCTGATCTCGTCATTCTCATCTTTCTTTTCTCTTTTGCCTCTTTTGCTCTTGCTCCTTCTCCCAAAGCCATTTCCTCCTGTTCTTTGCTATACTCGCCCCGTTGCTTCTCTATCTCATCTCCTTGGTGTCTAATTCCTCTTTTCCCTCTCAGCCTTTCTTCTTGCTGTCCAAAGTAGTGATCATAAAAAAGTTCTGCTTTCTCTAATGTGTCTAGTCTATGTTCTTGCCAGTTTACCATTACTCCTTCTGGTATTAACCATCTAAAATTTATCCCTTTTTCAATTAAGCCTTTTGTCAAAAATTGATACTCCTTTCTCAAGTCTCTCACTCTTCTTGGAACCTGCTTTAACATCACTATCTCTCTTCCTTTATATTTTGTGACATTTCTCAGCTTCTGTAGTATATCTGCCCTTAACACTTTTTTAGTAAATCTTATATGAACCTCTCTAGGGAGCTTATTTCTCGTTGCGTATCTAGTATGTATTCTGAATATCTCATCTATATCATTAATTATCTTTTCTTTACTTTTCTCCAGTGCTTCTGCTAATATTTCCGCCATCACGTCTGCTAAATTCTCTCCCTTTTCTTCTTCAACATTTTGGAATCTTAAGTAATAATCAGCTTTATCCATCTCTAGAGAGATAATCATTTTTTCCTGGTTCCTATCTATCAATTGTCCCTCTCCTCTACTCTCTTATCGGTTGATTCAATTTTTTCTTCCACTATCTGGAACCCAGGCAGACCTCCCCAAACAGCTGAAAAGTGACGATCCTTCGGCAGTCCCCAAAGGATGTGTCGTACCGCCACGACGTTCACTCTCTCTCCTACCAGTTATAACTTTCTTTGCTGCTAGTTGTTCGCAGATCCTTTTTTTGATTATCTTGTCCAGGATCTTCCCAGGTATTGATGTTAGACTGATTGGTCTGTAGTATCCTGGGTCTGTTTTTTTTTTTCCTTTCTTGAAGATGGGAACCACATCAGCCCTTTTCCAATCCTCAGGTACTTCCCTGGTGCTCCAGGACTTATGAAAAGATACGATGCAATGGTTCTGAGATAACATCTGCCAATTCCTTCAGAATTCTGGGATGTAATCTGTTGGATCCTGGTGATTTACATTTGTCAAGGTCAGATAGGTGTTCTCTTACCATTTTCTTGCTTATTTTAATTTTTGTTTCTAGTTTGTTTTTTGCAGTACTTTTTTGGTATGTTGTGCTATAATTTCTTTTTGTGTGAAGACTGATGCAAAGAATGAGTTAAGTAGTATTTTAAACGGTATGCACTGAGGTTCTTTTACACATTTAAACAAACCATTTAATCAAGATAAATTAATATTAGAAAATTTAATGTTTAAAATAGCAAGAACTATAAAAGAGAACTTCTAGACATCTTCAATTTAAACTCCAATCACTGTGATAAGACCATTGTGATAGATTAGCAGACAAGAAACTAAATTTTTCTCCACCACTCCTTGAAAGGAAAGAAGTCTTCAGGTTTTATCACCACCCAAGTAATTGTTCTGGAAAGCAAGGCTAAGTCAGTCATGAAAGGGCAATCAAACCCAAGGAAAGTCTAGGATCCAGAGTGTTTCTTGATGTCTCTTACTCCAGATTAATTCCAACTGAGGCCAGAGCCTCCACAGCCCATTGGGGATAGCTGCTGGAGTTCCCATACATAGTCTTCATGAAATTCTGAACAAATTGTGGAAACTTTTGCTTAGTTATATTCTCGCGGATCAAATGCATCAGGTTCATCTGAGAAAAAAAAGAACAAGCACTAGACAGAAGGAAATATATTGGTAGTGGGAAGAATAAACAATTATAAACTAAACTAGCTAACCAATTGGTAAGTTAGAGACTGTGTAGAGCAGACATGTCAAACTTGTGACGTCGCGTGACGTCGCATGATATATTGGAGCTTTTTCTCCATTGCCGGCAATGGGGCGGGCGCAGTTTCCTGGTGACGCATCCGGCCCGCAGGCCGGCAGTTTGACACCCCTAGTGTAGAGCATGGATAAAGACCTCGAAGAATCATCTGCTTTACATGGGCAGCCCTTATTGCCTAATCTGAAGCATTTGTCCTTCAAATCTTCAATAGCTTCTAAAGAAAACTCTTTCTGTTATTACTGGCTACTCGTGCTGGGTTATCAAGTGCTATGCTCAAATAGGAAGACAGCATGTACAGGACAAAAAACTTTGAGAATTCCTGACAATCTCTCTGAAGGACAAGCATGCAAACAGAAGGCATATTCTATAAATACCTTGGCAATTTTAAGGATATGAACTTCAGTTCCCAGAATTCTCCAGCCATCGACATTGAGAATCACTGATCTAGAAGAAATGCTCAAGAAGCACCCCAACAGCACATTTTCTCTAACAGGAAAAATCCTGACATGTCTACTGCCTACCGATCTGACCTATATCTCTAGAGCAGGGCTTTTCAACCAGTGGTATGGGTACCACCTGTGGTACATTGGCACCTGGCAGGTGGTATGCGACCATCCTAGAAAAGCGGTAGCAGGGGAGGGGAATGAGCTGAACCAGTGGCAGCACCACACAAGCGTGAGCAAGAGATGGCTGGAGCTGCAGGGCTGTCACGGCTCAGCAGAAGTGCCAGTATCAGCGCTTCTTCGGGACTGTCAGGGCTCAATGGAAGCGCCAGGATCAGTGCCAGGCTCCAGCTGGAGCTCAGCGCTGATCCTAGCGCTTCTGCTGAGCCCAGAAGAAGTGCCAATCAGCTGGAATGTTGCAGCATCTCCAGGGTCTTGTGATTTACATTCAGATGCTTGGCAACTGATTCATATTTATGACGATCAGTGTCCCAGGGTCATGTGAAGTGACCAAAACCTGCTGCAACTACCCAGCAGACAGGGGGAATAAAAACCAAACACCCCTCACCCCACCCCTACTGCCAATCCTCAACAGAAATGCTCACAACAATAAAAACCTTGGACAGGAGGAAGAGCGCCGCCGGGTGGGCAGGCAGGTGTCTTGCTTGGTTGTGCCTTGGGGGGCACTTTTTTCAGTGCCATTGTAACTTCAAACAGTCACTAAGCAAACTGTTGTAAGTCGAGGACTACCTGTACTTTATCACTTTTTTCCTTTTTTTTTTTTTTGGTCATCAAGTTTTTGACACCTTGCTAGGCAACTGGTGGTACTCAGATATTGCCATATCCTAAAAGTGGTACAATGGGTGAAAAGGTTGAAAAGCCCTGCTCTAGAGAGCCAGTTTGGTCTAGTGGTTAATTACCAGACTAGAAACCAGGAGACTGTGAGTTCTAGCCCTGCCTTAGGTATGAAAGACGGTTGGATGACCTTGGGCCAGTCACCCTCTCTCAGTCCAATGCACCCCACAGAGTTGATGTTGTGGGGAAAATAGGAAGATGGAGCATTTAGCTATATTCACCGCCTTGATTTATTTATAAAAATAATAAAGGGCAAATATAAATAAATAAAGCATCTGCCTTAGTGGTGAAAGTACAAACCGAAGAACTGATCCATGTCAAATGAAATAAAGAATAATTGCTTCCTGCTTTATCCGACTTACACTATGCATTTGTTGTCATGAAAAGGAATATAGGGAGTAATGGTTTCCATCTCCTCTTACAGAAAGATAAGGATGACAGAGGACCCTTTTTTGCAAGTACTGGATCCAGCCTCCAAACAGATCCAGTTCTACATAGCTGCTGGGGGAACATCACATCATCTATCTTAATTATATAAATTATATAATTATATAAACAAAACTCCTGATTTATATGGCAGAATCCTATGTGAGACTATAAGGCAGGCACCTCATCTCAAGGATTTATACTCTATCAGCAAGCACATACTAGCTGATAGATATGATTTATTTAGATCAGAGTTGGCATGTTGTATGAATCTAGCTATTGTTGTTTGTACACTGTGGCTTATACCTTGGTGAGTTGTATAAATCCAGCCATCTAGGGTTAACACAGTTAAGCAAATTCCAGCTTACTATGATGTGTAAGCCTAATTACAATGTATACATAATAAATTATGTAAACTGATAAAATTTTGTATAATATACTATAGTCCCTTTCATTATAAGTAATTATCTGCAAAGGATAGAAAAGAATAAACAAAACAAAGGATTAGATAAGGAAAAAAAGTAAGAAAACACAGCTAAACTGAACTTCTCAAATTTAGTTAAGAAAATTTGGATTATGATTGCATAGGCAGATGTCATGGAACATAAGAGAATAGACTGGAGTTTAAAAAGTGAGCAAGAGAAAAAAGCTTTCTGCCCACTTTGATAAAGTTATGGTACAAGATAGAAAAGCCAACTTAGCATTTAGACTTATATGCCGCTTCATAGTGGTTTATAGCACTCTCTAAGTTTTTTACGGAATCAGCATATTGCTCCCAACAATCTGGGTCCTCATTTTACTGACCTCAGAAGGATGGAAAGCTGAAACAACCTTTAACTGGTCAGGACTGAATTCCTGGCAATGGGCAGAGTCAGCCTGCAATACAGCATTATAACCCCAGCACTACCACAATTCACCTATTGCACCTATTTTCTTATTTCTATTTCACAGCCCATATGTCGCAGGTCCCTCCTTTGAAGTGCATTAGCTTTATTGCTGCCCATTTAGCAGAAGTTTTATGGCCTCTGAACAGACTGACCTGGTACGCAATATTATGGATGGTAATGTGATGCTTGGCAGCTGAATCAATAGGATAGAGAGCATTCAAGAAAGCTCGACTATATCTGTTAAGAAAAAAAACAAGGAGATCCTCTTGTGACCCTAGGTTTATGGAAGAATTTTGATACATCAAGAGCTAGAGAATAAGGGGAAAATATTTTTGTTCCTTTACAAGATAAAATACAGAAAATTAGACCTAATATTAGCTAAGTGAAATTATATCAGACAATTCAGACATCAGTACTTTTACAAGACGGAGAATCCAGGTGCATTTCTGTGGCCAATAATTGAAAAAAAGAGGAAAAATACAAAGATTATTGTGTAGCATGGAGAAATCAAAGAAAATTTAAGATGAGTTAGCTGGAATTGTCAAACTGAAGACAATTCTAAATTAAACGTTTTATTGCATTTTTATCCCACTTAGTATGATGTCACCACATTTTATCTTCACATCACTGGATGAGATGAATTGGTTTGAGAAAGCGCATGTAGCTGATAAAGATGCTGAGTAAATGAGGGTTTATGACTAAATGAGGGTCTGAATTTAATTTTTCCTTGATAAATAAGAGCTCTTTTTTGCCATTTCTATTTTTTAAAAAATCCATTCCAACCCAAGCACACAAACCTCTGGCAGGTAGGGCAGGCACAGTTTTCATCAATGGGCCGGAAATCCTTGGCATATTGTTTGTTCTTCAGCTGTAGGGAGCCCCAAGGGACCAAAGCTGAACCAAAGCGCTGGAAATAGAAAGAGGCCTGTATATTTCAGAGATACCACTGAAAACAACACTGGTTCCCTAGGGGTGGGTATTTTAAATCCCTTCAGAATCCCCCCCTCATTTTACAGTCATTCAATGTCAATCTGTTTCTTTCCATCAACTGGTGAAACTGCATTCAACTTGCCATTCCATTTCCTCCCAAGTTGATGCATGTACTTACTGCTGTCCTTGTTGGGTAGACACAGTCAAACATGTCACAGCCGAGGGCTACACACACTACCAGATCAGTAGCATAACTTTGAACAGAACAGAAATGGGAAACATGCATCAAGTGAGCAACTGCAAAAGGTAGCTATCCTTATCCCATTTAATAACATGGGTTTGTTTGTTCCTACCCAACTCCCATAAGGTAGCGAGGCTTGTTCTTTGGGAGATGTTTTGTGCTGAGGGCTACTATCCTCCAGAAGTGATCTTTGGCCTCACCACCACTCAGACCTCCAATAGCAAAGCCTGGCACATCTCGTTTAGTCATCTCTAGCAGGTGGGAGGGAAAGAAAAAGAGACAGATGAAGGAAACTACAATATCTAAAGATTATCTATATATTGTTGTAAGTTTTACAAATTATTTTGACAAACAAATGGCCAGGAGATATTTGAAAAGCTTCAGAGTTTATCCTGTAGAACAGTGGTGGCAAACCTATGGCACGAGTGCCAGAGGCGGCACTTAGAGCCCTCTCTGAGGGCACGCACGCCGTTGCCCCAGCCCCGCTTCCCCCTGCAGCCCCTTCCTCACCAGTAGCCCTGCCCCATAGGAGAGTCATCCCCGGGTGCAGCCCACACGGAGCAGTGCAGCCAAGCACATGGCAGCTGGGCAGCAGATGATGCTGCGAGGCGTGGGCAGAGGGCGTGGCTACCATGGTGCTACAGGGCCACCTGGGCAATCTGCAGCGGGCCGTGGATGGCCCTGAGGGTGGGTGGGGTGAGGGCGGAGCAGGGCGGGGGTGGGTGGGCGGAGCGGAGTGGGGGCAGGACGGGGCGGTTTTTGGGCACTCGGTCTCTAAAAGGTTCGCCATCATTGCTGTAGAACAATCAGAATCACAGATAAGACTTTTCGGTCCTCCCAATTCTCTTTTAGTCTGTTCTAAAGTAGTAGCTGTTTAAAGAAGCTGAAATTGCCCAGTTTCAAAATAAAAGTGATCTTACCTTCCAGACATTTGTTTCGAAGGATAGGATCCAGCCCACCCTGAATAATAGCAAATAAATTCTGCTGGTTAGGTTTGCTGTGTGCTGCAATACATCTGTCCAACCAGCGAATAGACCTACAACAAACATTTTATTAATTGCATGTTATTTCATTCTAATTATAGAACTTATATCTAATCAAATTTGCAACTGAGTGCTTTATAGCAGTTTACTTAAATAGATTTTATTTAACTCTTTGATCTGAATGCTGTTGTTATAGTTGAAATTTCACTCAATACATTTTGGAAGTATTGAGATTCCTGTGCTTTTATACATTTATATTTATAAAGAAGTTGATAGAAAATAGATAAAGCAGGCACAATTTATTTACCCAATAATTAGAATACTGTGCTTTAATATCTTTTTTGTAGACTAATGCCAGGTTGTTTTAAAAATAGTGTCTTTTGATGTTAAAATCAAAATATAATTTTAATTGTAAATATTTAGCAGAAAATATTCTGAATGGATGGTTAAGATTGCTTTGCTATTGGAGATGCAATTCAAAAGATTCTGCACTTATCCTACTGCTGCCAACATTGAAATTCTGAAATTCATGAAGTTATTTGCATGGATTAAAATAATTTCTCCTTCACAATAAGCAGTATATTCTCTTGACTATATCCCAGCAAGTAAAGTAAAGCCTTCCTTATAGCCAGTTTAACTCTTGGTGGGTAAGAACATGTTCGTAACATATGTTTTGGGCTGTAATATGGAAATGATTCAAGGATTTCTGGACATCTCCTTGTTTATCTTTATGAGAAAGTCAACTACTTGTAGTTGCTTCCATATTTGGAATTAAAGTGTCAGGAATTTTGGACATTTTGCAGATATAGCATAAATTGACAAAATGTATTATTTGCAAACATATGAATTAGTTCTTTTGCAACCATAGCTGGAGGAAGAAGGAAGAAAGATTTGACTATTATGGTCAAATTTCCTCAAATAGTTCTATTTTACCAATTTCCAGATTTTTTTTCTTTTAACTTTCTCCAAATAATGTGAAATTCAAGCCTAAGAGCTTCCTGAAACTAAATGCTTCTTTTATATTCTTTAGCTTCAGTCCCACCCCACTTCCAGCCCACGATAAAATGATAATATTGCATATATTAGTCTATCTTTGCATGTATCTACAAGTTCTGCTGGACAAATTCCTCTAAACTTCTCTAAGCAATTATTCTGCTGGGTTCAGGGCTGATTGGAAATTGATGTTCAATATCTCTGGAGGGCACTAATATGGATAAAGCAGGTGAAGTAATCTTTTGTAGCCATCAGTTATTCACTTCTGACATATTCTTATTCAGTCAAAGAGGATACTGGGAATGCGACAATAATGTATATTGGCATATCTGTCTCCCTTCTTTCTTGTTTTCAAGTTGGAATTTGGGACATTTTATTCAACAAGGGTTCAGAAAGTTCCAAGACAACACTGCATAATAGCCATCCTTTAAAATTGTTTAAATTGTTAAGTTTCCAAGATTTTAGCAATCTCAAAAGATTTAATGCCAAGCAAGGTCTTTGGACAATCTTATTTAGAAACATCTAACCTGAAATGAAAAGAGGTCTCTAGTTTTGATCCAGAAGCTTTTTCCAGCCCTTTTATCTGAGAGGTGCTAAGCCTGGAGCTGCTTCATTAAATGCATATTCTCCATAAATATACAATGGTAGAGGTAGTCTTCAAATTATGACCATTGGTTCAGTGATTGTTCCAAGTTACAATGGGGCTGAATGAGGGAGATGGATGGATGAATGGACAGATAGATAATCTTTATTGTCATTTCTTTACTGTGGGCACAACAGCACACATTAAAAATGAAATTTAGTTGCTTGCTCTCAAAGTGTACACTTGTCATGGTTCTGACTAATGAAAAAAAGGATGTATGGGGATTAGTTAAGATAAGAAACCACAGGCTACAGAACGGAAGGGAAACTTTGCCCTTCAAACTGATTGGAGAATGTGATTTAGGAACTGCAAATTAGAGGAGGGAAATATGATTGAATATTATGTGCTCAGGGGAGGGGAATTCAAATCTTGGCAGCTACCATGCTGTGCCGACACTTTGTTTCATGATTAAAGACTTTTTAGGATAAACAATGCCTGGAAGTTCTTTGAAGTGTTTCATTAGTCTGAACCTTGACATCATTCCAAGATCCACTTTCTTTTCAAACTACCTGGGGTCCTGAACTCCAGCCGCTGTCTCTAGACTTGAGAGAAGCTGGCAAAGATTCAGGAGGAAATTTCATTATGAGAAAAGAGAATCTGCTTGAATATGATGACCTGGCAGCTGCTGATACCCCAGAGGGGGAAGCAACAGACAGCATGCTGTGGGAGGACGAGTTTTGGCAGCTAAATGGCTGGCCGTCAGCCCGGGCCCTGCCCAGCAGAGACTCCAGATGCCTCGAGACTGCCTTGCCACCCTCAAAGCCTTCAAAAGCAGACCGGTGGAGAGCTATCAGATCTGCCACTGAAGGTTCAGGTGAGTCACTGGAAAGATTTGAAAAGCTAGAGATGAGAAGCAGAAATCCTGCAGAGAGGAGCCTACAGCCCCTCCATTGCAGATCAGACAGCCTTCCAGACCCCCTGCCAGGGCCTCCAGCCCTGAAGAGAGGGAATCCCAGTCTGAGGCCTCTGCAGCAATGGGGAGTTTGGCATCCCCCGCAGGTGGATGGTCAGTAGCCTCTGAGCTTGCCACAGCTAATAGAGGCCTTGCAACAGCTTGGGATGGTACAGAAGCCAGAAGATCAGGAGCTGGTGGGAGGATGACCACAGCAAGGAGACTGGTTACTGCCCCCGAACTTGCAGCAACCGCTGAGGGGCCTACAGCGGCAGGGGGCGTGACCACAGCCCCTGAACGTGCAACCCCTGGGCATGCAGCAGCAGTCGGGATGGGACCAACAGCAACTGGTGGTGCAACAGCCACAGTGGGAGGGGCTCTACCATTCAGAGCAACCTTCAATGGAGACCTAGAAAAGCTGATTTTCTTCCTTAATCAAGTGCGCTCTCATCTGAACCGCTGGGCCTATCTCTACCCGGACCCAGGCGCTATGGTCGATGTGATTGAGTTTAGCCTAGAGGAAGAAGTATCTGAATGGCTGAACAATTTATATAATGAGCAAAGCCCCGAATTGAAGGAGCCCCACCTCTTCCTCCTAGGGCTGAGAGAAAGATTTGAGGACCCATCCATTGGCCTCAAAGCAGGAGAACAAATCCACAAAAAAAAAAAAACCAAGCCAGCAGGCCTGCCCTGGGGTATGTATGAGAGTTTCGCGAGATAGCAGGTCGAATAGAGGGGTGGCCTGAGCAATCCCTAATTCATCACTTCATTGAGGAATTAGATGACCACCTCTCTCAGGCCTGCTAAAAGACCCAGGCCACCTGCAGGCCCATCAATTAAGTGTTTTCAGTGCGGTCAGGAGGGACATTGAGCAGCAAACTGTCAAGTCCCCTACCCCCAACAACAGAGCAGACCGGAACCAGCAGCGAGAAAGAAACCAGCCCAGCGGCTAACAAGAGAGAAATCCAACCGGGTCACACAGGAACCTATTGCCCAGGTCACACTTCACACACAGGAGGATACCAGGACTTTGGGTGGACCTGCCCCCGCTCTACCCTCCTTTGACAGCGACAACAAAGGAAAGAACGACCCAATGGTGAGACGACATGTCCCGCCTTTTTCACTGCCCGCCAAACTTATAATCCCTAAGTCAGGGGCACAAATAGACTTAAACGTACTAATCGATTCTGGATGCTCCCGATGCATCATTAGCTTGCCATTTGCCATGAGCCGTGAGGTTGGAGCAAGCCAATGGCTCCCTGATGGGAGGGACTCTTGTCACACAATTAACTGAGCCCCTACACCTAGAAATAGGTAAGCACTGGGAGTTTATTCACTTCCTGGTGGCTCCAAAAATGACTGAGGCGATGATCCTAGGGCTAGCTTGGTTGGACAAATGGAAACCATTTATCTGGTGGGAGAAAGGAATGAGAACTGTGAGACTACCTATAGGGCCTAAACCTTCCACTGATTCAACCGACGTTAAGGACACTTTAGGCCACCAAATGAGCGAGCGCACTTGGCTGCCTCAACGCCACCAGGCGAATCACTCATCCGCAGCGAATACTGGCACCTAGAGGAGGCATTCAGTGAAAAAGAAGGCAATGTCCTGCCCCCTCACAGACCCAATGATTGCTCTATTGAACTGGTGCCAGGAGCCAAACTCCCACGACTAAGAATGTACACTATGTCCCCCTCGACATGGATGAGATGCAGCGATATGTGAACAAAAACATAGTGAGGGGGTTCATTGAATGGGCCAAATCTACGGTGGGATCCCCTGTGTTATATAAAGAAAAAAGATAGGTCTCTTCGTCTTTGCGTAGATTATAAAGGTCTGAACGCGGTTAGTGTGGAAAATAAATACCCCTTCCCCCTCCTGAAGGACTTACTAACCCACCTGGTTAACGGGAGCATCTTCAATAAATTAGACCTGAGGGAGGCATATTACCGGGTGAGAATAAAACAGGAAGACGAGTGGAAAACTACCTTCAACTGCCCCATGGGGAGCTAATAGTTCAAAGTCATGCCATTTGGACTATAGGGGGCCCCAACTGTATTCATGCAGTTGATTAATGAAGTGCTACATGATCACTTGTACAAAGGGGTTCTGGTGTATCTTGATGATATCCTGATATACAGCACATATATGACTGATCACATAAAGATGGTGAGAGAAGTGTTAAAGAAACTATTGAATGCCAAGCTTTATGCCAAATTGTCAATATGTGAATTTCACCAGACCCGATTAGATTATCTTGGCTACAGAATTTCCAACTAGAGTGTTGAAATGGATCCAGCCAAAGTGAAATCTATAATTGAATGGCAGCCCCCAAAGACTGGCAAACAGTTTCAGAACTTTTTAGGTTTTGCCAACTTCTATCATCAATTCATCCCCTCATTTGCCGAAATTTCCCTATCCCTTACAGAACTACACAAAACAGGCAAAAGAGGAGGAAAACCGCGACCGAGCCAGCCACTTACATGGACTATGAGCTGTCAAACAGCTTTTGAGAATTTAAAAA